TTTGGATTTTTTTTTGCACTGCTTGGCGTCAATTTGAAGATTTAGCTTGAAGTGAGTGCATTTAAAGCTTTGAATAGCTCAACGCATTGGTTTATTTCGTTTTAACCTAAATACCTCTAAGTCAATCTCATTAATGTACACCCTCATTTCTGTTTTCCATTGTTAAGAATAATAGCGATTGACAAATGCAACATATATGTTGATTGCTTACATTTGTGAATGGTCTCAACTCCCGAAGTACTGCTGGAATAAACTGAGTTTCTGCCCTTTTATNGGGAATTCAATTTTGACTAACTGCTGATTCAGTCTAGCGACATCAACGAAAGTTCTTCCATATGTTTATAGCCTTCCTTTTTAGTCCACTTGATTCTATTTTCTGTCTTACATGAGTTGCGTCCAACTGAATCTGTCTATTTTTAAAATCGACTATACCGATGGAAGCCCTCAGCTATGGATTACGCTCATAAGATTGAAGCGTGAATCCAAAAAAAAATCATTTTACGTCGTAATACTTCATAGTTTCAAAAATACTAAACAGACTCTATATTCCGGTTTTTTGGTAGACGACTTGTTTACCGTGCCATCAGACGAAACAATGACAATGACGAGAGTTATTACGACATTCTATAATCCTGAAACCATGTTAAAATTCCAGAAAGTTAATGAGGCATTGAAAATGCGATAGAGAAACCGATAGCCGGGAACAGGTTCTTTGTGGAACGTTATGTAATCAGCATAAGCGTTAAGGCAGCTGCTAATGAAGTTTTAATGCGCTCCTTTTACATCGATTATAGGGCACATTACGACATTGAACAATCTGACTGTTGTTTTCCGACATTTTTTCTCTTCACTTTTGAATCAGTGTTTGCAGCTGTGACTGAGAAGTTGACGAATTTTCAACGATATTCGTTAATCGAATCCAATATTATTGCCAAAATAATTACTCGTTACCAGTTAATTGATGTAATCGAACATTTGACGCGTTAACCACAAGTGACATAATAAAAATCCATCAAACCTAACCAAACAGGAATACAATTAGCCGCAACGTTCGTCTCAACCACATTCCCTCTCTCAAACATGTAATGTGATCGAAACAGCGATCAGAATCGTTCGCGTTTATAATCTCTAACATTCACTCGTTATTGTATAGCCATACATAAAATTATCGTTCACAACATTCACTGAATTCAAATTCGATTTGATTCTACCGAAATGATTCTATTTGACATTTGGACAAGTTTTGGTCTTCAGTCTCCGTTTGTATTCGATTCATGTACGGTTGGCATGGAGACTTTTGGTATGCCTTCACCATTCATTTGTTATGACTTTATTATTTCTATTATTATTGTAACCATTGTCGCATTATTACTGATTTGAATAATGTTACTATTGTTGCATTTCTTTTTGATATTGTCATTCATCTCGTTACTTTTTCGGTACTTCTTTGATCAAACTTTGCTGGTGATAACAATAATAATAGCAACAATTGTTGATATTATTATTGTTATTACAGTCTTTATAACTGTGATCAGTGTGGTTAAAACAGGAACTTGATTATATCGTATCGCGTGATGTGCTATGATGATAGGTGTTATTTTATAATTCTGTTTATGATTATTAATTGACGATAAAATATGCGGCCTATATACAGCTGATCAATTCGATTGCAATAATACTTGTTTTGAGTGGAGCTTCATTCACTTGATGTTGTCACATTTCGAATAGCTTCCCATTACTGGCTAGGCAGTCTCCCCTCAGTTCGGTTACTTCACAATTTCGAGCTTCCATATTTAGGATTTCTTTTATCAGTGATTTGTTGAATGGTGACTGCTCGAGATTGTCAAATGCTCATGCCGCTTACATATCTTACAATCAACCCTTCTCGTTAACATGTCACCAACTGAAAATGGTTATAACTGAAAGATTTTCCGCTCATGAGTTTATCGGATGTGCCAGCAATTGCGGAATGCAGCTTTCAAGTGGAGTATAACACCTCAGAAAAGTTCAATGTAAATTCAGTTGACTTCATTGAATAAATCAGTTTGTGTTGAATTTGTTAACGAATTGAATTTGTTTGCGAACATATACGTATAACACGAATATGGGTTAACGTTTTAAAGAGCCGTTCAAATTCTAGTTTGATTGAAAATCAGTGAGCGAACGTTATTCGAAATGAATGAGCAATTTGCAAAAGTTGAATATTGCTATGATAATGCAACGATGCGCACCTCAAGACCGTTGAGACCGTATGCGAATGGTTTTGAATATGATTATAATCATCGCTCAAATGATGCGGATATTATCAATTCAAACGTTGTCACTTCACATAAATCTATTATAACCGGGCGCAGAAATAGCCAAGGCGCACCGAGTAGCGACTTGAAGGTAACTTGAAATTCGCAGTTATTCTTTGATATTCGTTTGCACCATATTTTCCCCTTATTCGCTATTTGTTGTGTTACTCAGCAGACTTGATCTATGGTGAAACGAAACTATTCGCTTAGGAATGTAATGCTCCTAAACGACCCGACCCGAAATGTTCTTATGGTGTAAAGTGTGTTATTTTTTACTTTTCGATCGCTCGCATAATTCACTTATTACAATTAGTTGTCACATAGTTACGAAATCTCAGAAAGCAGTGTCATTGTGAATGAAACTTTTAGTAATGAACGATGAATCGAATTGCTGCCGGAGCTATCGGTTCATAGGAATGATTAAAGGCTCAAAAATTTGATAACGCTTGAGCTGTCCGATTAGTATTCACCCGCAGTGATTTTCACTTCTCATCTTCAGTTCTCACTTGGTTTCTGTCAGAACATCACTTTTATTTCTCGAAATGTAAGTACTGCAAATCCCGACTTGATATATATTATAGGAACTGTTTTCCACGTTCGACATTGAATCAAAAGTGGTTCCTTATGAAATAATTGTACGAGCGCAGCAATTGTGCGCACAATATTTGAGCGGATCATGGAACAAAATCACTCCTGGACGAGTTCGACTGAAGGCAATTACGTTAGCATTGAACTGCATTAATCAGCACTTATTTGACAATATCCGTTTATCATGGAAATCGACCAATAGACCAATAGATCCATTTTCGATAGGTGATAAAGTATATCGGTATATCAAAAAGTATATCAATTTTTCACAACATATAATATCATGCTATTCTATTTCAACAGACTGAGTTTAAAAAATTCATAATCAAACGTTGAGGCGTAGCTGGTGGATGGCTTAAACTGGGAATGCTATTTTCATTATAAACAATGAGAATACTGATTGAAGAGTATCCCTCGAGAATATTGAAATCGGGCTCGATAAAGAAGTTTTTAAATTGTAGTGGTGGTATGAGTAATTTGCTGTTTCTGGTTGAAATGCCTGACGATATTGAGCCTGTTTCAACAGAACCCCGCTCTGCACTTCTTCGAGTTCACTGCATACTCGATATGGAGCATTTGCTGAATGAAGCTGTTGTATTCACATTGTTATCTGAACGGTTAGTTTCGAATATAATTAATTATTCATTCGAAGAAATTGCCTGTTTCGATTTTTTGCTCATGGCATCATACTTTTAAAAGTGGGCACACGTAGAAGAAGGTATATGAATGGTTGCGTCATTCGGATTTTCCTGAATATGATAATTGAATTCTATCAGTGATGACTGTCAAGGAGGCAGCTTTATATTATCTATTTATCGCTTCAACACGATTGATATTCAACAATTCACATTTCATTTCCTCCAGACAGAATTATCGACGATAGAAAGTATAATTTTAGAGCATTAGGTCCGAAATTGCTCGGCGTATTTCCAGGAGGTCGTTTCGAGCAGTACATTCCATCGCGTCCTCTCCGACGTGAGGAACTCTCATTACCGAGGTGATTAATTTCGTTAGTGCTCCGTGATTTCATGTCTTATTAATGAAAACTTTCATTTTTTTAGTCGACTTTTGTTGTTGATGTCTCTTTAAAGAGTAGCAATTAATTACCTCTGTAGCAATTAAAAATTATTTTCCGTTTCATTCAACCATCGTAGAATTTTTCAAACAATATTTTCCGTTGTATCTACTTGTTCTGTATTTTCAAGTGAGGAAATTTTGAATCGAAATGTTATCAATGAATTTCGAATGAATTTCTTCACAAGCGTTTTTCGAAGCGAGCAAATTATCAGTGCATACCAGAATGATCTATGTCATTCAGAACGACAATGTTGGTTGCATCTCACAGAATGCAGCAGCTACCATTCACATGACATTCATCCATCACAATCTCAATCAACCGCTATTCATATTTATGATGAAAACTATCACGCTAAATGATAAACCCATATTCTACATGACTTTTTCCAAACAAGAAGTGAATCTTTATCGACGGAAAATTTTTATTTTTGATGGCAAATGAATGGTTGAGTTGAATGTAAACAGTTAATAGTTCGTTTTGTATCGGTATGCTTGTTGCAGCATTTCGAAACGAATCGCTTGTTTGCTAGCTCGGGTTCATGCGTTGGACGTACCGATTGCAAAGAAGAGTATGTTCGTTGAGGTTGCCGAAGGGTGGCTTTCGAAGTTACGAATGGTTGAATCGAAAGTGGCACACAAAATGCGGTTGAACACCGTAAAAGTTGACTTGATGAAGGTGAGTAGTAGCCAAGTAATCTTAAAAGTGACGAAAACTTAAAAGTTCAAATTGGATGAGGCTGAGCTTTAACCTCAACTTTAGGCTACCATCTGTAATCATGTTAATGCTCCGCCTCAGCTTTGCACTCACAGTTCCAGACACTTCTATCCAACGGTATCTGACTGTAGGACTGTTCCATTCCGATTTTCGACAATTTTTAGAGCGTCTTAATGCATGAAAACGTGCGCACATGAACGTGCAGATAGCTGCTATATTTGCTCAAATTGTTAATGTTGAATTTGACGGAAAAANAAAAATGGGTGGTGTGATCGGCAAGCCTGGTATTTTGACTGTTTACGAGCATTTTGGCTGAAAAAAATTGATTGCTTGCAAAAGTCGTTCGAGCAATCGAATGATTCGAACTGATAAACTTCAACTGAAAAAAACTTTGTTATGATCTGTCCACTATAATTGGAGTGCCGCCGTTTTGAGATCAAAGCATCGTGAAGTTTTGTGGAGCAGTATGGTGATAGCCGTAAACAAAATGAATGCCTATATCACAGCGCGAAAATTGTAATGAACATTTTTGCATAACGTTTGATAACGTGACCAGCGTACGATATTATTTATATTTATTGTGACACTCCCATTCACATGCATCCATAACATTCCATGATAACATAGTAATTCTATTTTTACGTTCGAAAACATTCCCAAACGATAAATTTTCAAAAAAATATGTGGATGAGTCAAGCAGTGAATGCGAAAGACCAGCAGTCGCATTCTTTCACCAATTTCAACCTGGAAATTCGACAATTCATAGGGTAAAGATCGCATTGCGGATACTGGCGAATATCTGTTACAGTTAAACAGCTATAATGGGATTAGCTCAACAAGCGAACAGATGTAATGAAGCGAAAACACTTGGAGACCTTCATGGTGGGCATTGTGGAATGATTTTCAAAGTCATTTCTGAATTGCTGTTTTTGATTTCAGTGTCCAACCGAAGTAACTTGTGAATTATTGACCGATGAATTGGAAGTGATGAGAGCGTGCCTTAACAACTGTGATAGTCCAGTTGTATTTTGTCATAATGATCTTCAGGTGAGCATTCATTTTCCTCAAGTTCACCGTATTTTCGTCAGCCGGATTTCGGTGCAAGAGATATGTGCATTCATGCAGTTGACTGTCTATAACGTAAAAATATATTTGAAGAAACAGAACGCCCGAAAAGTTACTGAAACAGCGATATTAGCGAACTAATTATGAAGAAATAGAGCATTTTTAAAAACATTTTTTGCAGTGAAAAGCGACGGGGTATGCATATCAGAATAATNCCAAGAAGAACTGAATAAATTTCTTCGATTTCAGGAGGGCAATATTTTACTGCACAATGAATTTAGAATCGATGGTAATGGTAATTTGAATTGTGAACGAGAAAAGGAACCGCTTGTATTAATTGATTTCGAATACGCCAATTACAATTATCGGTACGAATGCTGCTTATTCTTACTCACTAAAACGTGTTCCATTCTTTTCAGTCGATTAGAATATCTCTTCGAAGACTCGATCAGCTCAAAATCATATCTACCTATTGTATGTAGTTGTAATTTGAATTGTGAACGAGAAGAAAAAAATTGGAATGAGCAATTATTCTAATTTCGTATACGTCCTTGATTTGTTCACTTCATTCACGTCCCTGACTCTCGTTAACATCTCCTTAAAATCTAGAGGTGACAAAATTCACGACCATTCGTAAGATTAGAACAAATCACCGGAAATGGATGAGCCATAGTCATTGTAACGAGTTCAAAAAGATTTCAACTAACAATAGTAATTTGAACAAACAAGCANAATACTCATTGATTGCAGCGGTTTCGATTTTGCGAATCACATTTGTGAACGTATATGTGACTATTCTGATAAGAAGCCACCATATTATTCGATAAAACAGTTTCGATTGCCCGATCAGAATGAACAACGCATCTTCTTCAATGCTTATCTCGACGAACTTCATCAGGTAGTTATTATTCGGACTTTTGATACTGAAAATTGATTGTTCAAGCGTAGTATTTTGAAGAATTACACAGCTGTTTTGCAAAGATCACTTCGCGAATTGAGTCATTGGTGGTTTCAGATGGTAAATAATGCGAATCCAGCGCAGCAATCAGCATACTTCCTGAGTGAAAAATCAAAAACGCGTGAGGAAGCCATTGAACAGTTGATGACTGAAACACGGCGATTCATTGCTGTGTCGCATTTGTTTTGGAGCATTTGGTCATTCATGCAGGCCGAAGAGTCACCAATTGAATTCGATTATGTCAGTTATGGTCTCGATAGGCTCGCACTCTACTACGAGCATAAGGCTGATTTAGTTGAATACTTGAATTTATGAGAAATACAGAATCACTGGCATGAGTGTACACCGCAATGTTAATTCAACTGTAAATTTAATTACAATCTCTGTCATTCAAGTGATCATTCATTTACCTGTCGTGTTAATGAAAGTTCACATTGAACATTGCCCAGTTCATTAGAATTTGTAATTTCTTCTCAGTTGAAAAGTACTCAAGAAAAAATTTCTTATGCTTCCTAACTCAGTGAATCGTTCGGTTGCATACAATAATGTTAATGTGCCTTTCTCAATTTTCATTTATAACACAATTTCTGCTGGTCTTTCGTAACGAAGGTTCCTTCATTTCGCTTGTGACTGTGTCTTTTCGTGTTCGTTATCGATGTGGTCAATTAGCTGAAATTTTTTATGGGTCTTTTCTATTCAGATGTTGCTGATTCTCATGTTGAATACAAATCAAAATCATATAATATTGCTGATGTGTCTTCAAGTGTCTTCAAACATCATGTCTTCGCCTATGCTTTTATTGAATGATAAGCTAGAGTTCTGTTCGACCGGCATATATACTTTTTGTTGCCGGACGAGAGGTTTATGCCGCCTGAAGGGCGAAAACTCAACGGAATGCGGTATTCTTCAGTTGTTCAATCGTGTTGTGATGCATGAATATTTTCAGGGTTACAATCGTGATTATTAATTTGTGCTGGTAATATTTCTTTTTCATGTATAATAAATGATGCACTGTGTGATAAACTTGGACGTAATTTTGAACCGTCACTAAATGTTCTAATGATGTATTTGTTAATAGACTATGTAATATGGAAGCGATATTTCGTAGTTTTGTTGAATTGATAATATATAAGTGCGTGATCTGGTATAATTCCAATGCATTGTGATCAATTCCACCAAGCACCTCAGTTGATTTTATTCTCGAAATTGATGTTTTGATTAAAAATTGCCTTATTTTAAAAAGTCATATGTTCGAATAAAAGTGTTATTTCTAATCAATCGAGTTTCCTTGTTATTGGATGCCACAAAATTCTTAACCCATAGCTTTGTTGAATCCGGAAAGTGTATTATTCGTGAAGTCCATTTCGATCTAAAACATTTAGTGAATCAAGAAATCTACACCGAGCAATCACTAATGATGGTCTGTTATCGACCAGGAGTGTAGGGTCATCTCCTCTTCATTTCGGACACATGCACACAGATTTACTGCAATCCTGACAAGATCTGAAGTCGTAATAAATAACCAGAAAAAGGCGCAAAAATTGCAAGCAGTTGACAACGGAACGTTCATATTGATCAATGTGAGATTTTTTGATGAGACTTTATATCAAGAAACTGAAGACTTCTTCCTATAACATAATTGCTTTCGTTAAACGTAAAGTTAATGTTTGTATGAGTGTTAATGGAGGATTACAAAGAAGCTCACGAAATCTAAGGTTACAGGTAGCTTGGAAATGATTTATGAAGTTATCGCAATTGCATTAGACCCACATAATAGTCACGCGTAACATTTTTGAGATGAGATTTCAAAGGTCATCTCGAAAACATGCAAACTTTTCTAATGACTGAGACTGTGATCCATTAGGAATTACGGAGGTTCCCAAGTGAAGAGCTTTTGCCTGGATGCGTGAAAAGTATCTAATTGTAAGCAAAAGTTGATGCTGACGATTAGTGTTAGATATGTGAGAGGTTGCTTGTTTCAGTATATGATCGCACCAATCAATGTTGGGCAATAGTACACTATCGAAACACTGCAGCGAAGAATTACAACTAAATGATCACCTCGCACTGGTCAAACAGTAAACAGATACACATTTCTGTGCAACACTTATTAGTTCATGTCGAAATGATCGACACAAAATTTTGATCAACAAAAACATTCGAGATCGTCATTCGCGATTCACTCTCATTGTCATTTATGATTGTTCATCGTCAGTGGCTTGCTTTCTTTCGTTGCTGTGTTTTATTTGCGCAACATTCGATTGCTTCCATCCTTTCTTCAGATTTTGAAGTTTCAATTCCACGTAATTACATGAATCCAACTACGACTATTCCAATGTATATTCCAATAAGTATCAGCTGATCGCTTTACATACTTTGCTATAGATCAGCGATAAATTTCCATGGTGAATAAGTTTACTTATCGTTAATGATATTAGCGAGCATCAATGGATTCGAATTGTATTGCGTTATCTAAACCGTTTTGTCGTATACTTCTTATGAAGTTACGATTTTGAGGACATCTAAAATGAAAAGTAAAATAGGATTTCTTTCATTTACTTGTGCTGATCGGAACCCAGATTGCTGAGATATGTTCAAGCCTTGAACCCTCATTCATACTCTCCATACGCAATTCTCATAGCATGATCGAGGATCATTGTGTTACTTGAAACAACAACTGATTCATCTTGTATTTGCGCTATAGATCGATTAAATTGGCTATCAATGCGGTGAAATTTTTTAGGTGATCAATGCATTTCATTTGTCGAAAATTGAAATAAGACAAATATCCCATTTAGGAAAGAGTTGAATAGCTTTGATGTAGTCTTTTCAAAAAACTTATGATTGATGAATGACTATCACTCTAAGCGGTACTAGTGGATGTGCATCAACTTCCGGTCAGAACGGATCATAAGAACAGGATATCAATATCTTTTACAGTTCACTGATCCTCGGAAAAAAAATCTGATTTCTTACTTCGATCGCTAGCTGATGATCATGCAGTGATCGCAATCGTTCGCTCATTAATGTTCACATTCCTGGTCGATATTCTGATGATTTACTCTGTTGCTCGTAGAACTGCTCGGATTCGTGATTAGTTCGAAGTCCATTGACAAAAAAAGATTAGAGGGATGACTGATTCTATAGGGCAAGACTAGGTGGGTGACGTTTGCAGGGAAGTGTATACTACTGGACGAATTTGAATGAATGAGAATTTTCCATGATTTAGAAATGACCTCCTGCTAATATTGCATTATGGAGTGTTCCCACTGGGACTATTTGAATCGAGAGTGCGATTTTGGTTTATGTTCAGTTAGAATGTGCTTTTGGTGGGTATGAAGGAGAACCCTTACAACAGTCATCATATTTTAAATCATCCTTCAAAATTTATGACAAACTTATTGACAATTGCAAAGAATAATTGTCAATAATATAATCATTTCCAGCATTGAACCGGGGGCAAAACAAAGAAATAATAATCAAAGGTCGAATAATTCATGCAGTGAAACGATTTATTTTGTTGGAATGCAGGCATTTTCGAAAGCTTGTATATATTACCGGATAGCAAAGTTCATTCGTTGATACTTGAATGATATGGGCATGAAAAACTGAGATGAGAGTTGCTAAAAATGGTAGAAATGGGTACAGTATGTAAGACTGTACGATTGAAAGTTATCTGTTCTTACAAGAAATATCAGAACTTATAAGTAGATGGGGAGAGAGAGGAATAAGAAACGATTTCTGATTGATTCGTTCCTTAAACGTTCCGTTATGATATGGAAATAAACGACTACCACTGAATTATTTCAAATTCCTCTGTGTACGTACATCAGTTACATGTAATTACTGTATTTTGATTGCAGTGGACTTGGAAAGGGAGAAGTGATAATGAGATTCGTTTTGAGCTAACATTTTGAGCTCTATAAGCGTGACTTAGAGATTAGTTCTGAACAATATAGAAGTGGAAAACTAAGAGGGAGATTTTAAAAAACAATCAAAAGATGAAGGCGATAAAATAGGTCTTTTGAGCTAAAACTTAGCATATTCGACTGCATATGACTGTAAATTAATTCAAGTAACATTTGATAAAGTCCACTGCAAGCTATGCATGTGCTGTTGGAATTGTTACTCATTTACTTCTTGTGATATCAGTACATTTGTTCAGCTTCTTGTTCTAAATGGTTTTTGATCTTTTTGTGACAGCAATAAGATTTAATGATATCCTTTGTATCTTTAGCTTTATCTCATCTCCATTATTTTCATTGCACGGTAATACAACCGTGAAATGATTCTGAGCGTGTTCAAGTGTTTTTGTTAACTAACGCTGTTAGTCATATTGGCGATTAATTCATTTGTGTTTTTGATAATGTTGATGTGATATCGTGATACACGATGAGAGCGTATTGTATGAATTTTAAGAAAGTCGCTATGATGAACGAAAATGAAACAGCTCTCATGATATAGAAATGTTGTCACGATATTACGGCCAATTGCTATGTTCACTTCGCTTATCAATACATTCCTTACCAATAATATTGTTTTATGATTGTAATTACCACACCATACAGTTCATCAATTACGCTTCAATAACCTTATATCAGCATATTTGATTCAAGCAATTGTTTTGTTTATGAATAATGTTGATATGCTTGTTGTACTTCAATTACGACTCGTACGCAATTACGACCATTTTCGATCAACTCTACAATGCAGAGACAGCGAGCGATACACGACCGACTTAGCTCCATCAAGTTGATACTGTTGGATTTGCATTCACCTGATCTCATTCACCTTCCCAGATCACCCAACCTGCAAACCTCATTCACCTTCCCAGATCACCCAACCTGCAAACCTCATTCACCCTCCCAATTCATCCAACCTGCAAACCTCATTCACCCTCCCAATTCATCCAACCTGCAAACCTCATTCACCTTCCTGAATCACCACTTTTTACCTCTTTTAC